TCGATCGGATTTTTCTGCACTGTCATCCACCGTTTTTCCCTCCTTTCTTCGATCTTCCTCTTCGATCTCTCTTTTTCCCTCTCTCTCTCCCTCCCTCTCTCTCTCTCTCTTCCTCTCCCTTCCCGCTTCCTTTCTTTTCGAAACGCGCCAATTTCGACCCCTGGGGCGTCGGTTATCTATCGTTCGAATTTTGCGAGGGATAGGAAGAAATTTGCAATTCCAAACAATGGGATTAAGGAAGATTAACATGTAATAATAATAATAATAATAATAATAATAATAGTAATAATAATAGTAATATTTGGTTTCTGTGTAGGAAGGAAAAGGAGAGCGCGCACTTTCGAGCACGTTCGATCGGAATATCGCGAGTGCATATGCGATGCTCGGTGCGAAAAAAGAAAAATTAATGAAAAGTAAGGAAGGAGTAAACAATGGGTGAGGTCAGACACGAAATCGTGGCTGGATCGTGAACGAGAACCGATAAGGAACAATGCCGGCGCAGTGTTTTCCCGGGGAGAGGCGATTAGTCTCGTGACGCGTATCGCTTGTCGAAAGGTCATTAAAACCGGCTGGTCGCGATCGAGGGAAGTGGCAATGGTAATTTCTAGACAGGGACGCACGTACACATTGAACGGGCACGAACGTCATCGGGACTTATATCACGTTCTTCGAAAATAGCCGAGTGCCACCGTGCGTCGAGTGCGGACTGACGCACGCGCGCACCACTGGCACGTGCCTCCTACTCCCTCCCCGAGTCTTTCGAAATTACTCTTTCTACTTGTGCGACCGATTAAACGCGCGCCACGGCATTTATCTCGGCGCATACGTGCACGTATGCCCGGCACGAAACGCGGATACGTTGTATTTCTTCCGATATGCCGTGCAACCGTTTCGTTAATTGATATCGGATCCCATAGAACCTGATCCGGGTTCGAGGTCGTAAGTTTTTCGTGAGCTATGAAATTCTTGATTCCATCCGCTTCCAATTTTTACTCTCTTCGATTTCGAATTCGGAAAATTTTGAAAAGAAATTTTTAGAAAAAAAAAAAAAAAGGAAAATGATGGACAAATTACGCGTTTTAAAGATAATTGTGGGTTATGGATACGATGTGGAATTCGTAATAAGTATTATTCTTGTTGAAGGAATTTTGAAATCTTTGTGTTTTTTGTAAGTTTATAATTCTATAAATACGTCACGACGAAACACATTTATAAGAATATGGAGGGGGGATTAATTGGATTTATTACCACATTACGTGACGAATTATAAAATTCGTTTTTTTTTACACTCGTGGAACAAAATGTTGTTCGAACGAAAAATTATACGGGCAAATGGATATTCCCCACACTCTATCTCCGGGAAATACCAACGACCCCGAATAGTCGGAGGTTTTCTGCGTAGAAAACGTCGCATCGCAATACCCCGGTTCCTATTCCATTTCCGCAACAAGAATCGCGTTTCCTCGATAACGAATCGCTTAGCGAAGCGTCACTCGAACCAACTCGTGTACACCGATTCCCCGGCTATCTGCTGGGAGTATCTCTAGCTGAGAGCACGGACGTGTCAAAGGCTCGGCGGGCAGATAATCAGCGGAGCCGGCGCGCGGATGGTTCCGGCGCCGAGTGAAGTCAGCCAAGTATTCCAATCGCTGAACTCTGCCGGTCTACAAAGGGTGGGAAACGGGCAAAGCGTGTAAAAGGGCGATTGGGAGGGGGAAGCAAGCCCAGGAGTTCGTAGAAGCGCGCCGTAAGTGCGACGAGGATCGTTCCGAGGATCGTGCTCTCCCGTCTCTCTTCCTCGAAACGAGACGAGAGAGGCCGAGTCGTGCAGTGGTTGGGGGTAAAAGATCGGCAAAGGACGAAGGGACTCACCCTTGCGAAGGTCGAACGAGGACGGAGAAGCATCGTGAGCTACGAACCGACCAGACCCACGAGAACGACGCTGCTCGACTGCGACTGCGAGCG